ATATATATATATATATATATATATATATATATATATATATATATATATATATATGGACAAAATTTAAAAAAGAAATTTAGTTTTACTGCAATATAATTTATAGATTTACACTGGCATTCTTACTTTGTCCTTATGTCAGATGACCATGAGTCATGTGTGATAGTCAAATATTCTAAGGAAATAGGAATTCTAGGAAGACAGAGGAGTTGACAGTGGCACTCTCAATTATTGCTTCTCTAACTGAGATATAATTCACATAAAACATTATATTAGTTTCAAATGTACAACATAATGATTAGATGTATATGTATATATATTGTGAAATGGTCACCATAATATGTCTAGTTAACAGCCACCGCCACACGTAGTTTTTATTCTAAGTATATAACAAAGAGAAATTAAAGCCTTTTAAGGAGATATTTTGGTTCTAATCTATCCATCATGAAGACTCCCCTAAATATCTTTTTTGCAAGTCCAAAGATTCAGAGCTTGAATTAAAAAAATGAAGCAGGTAAAGTTACAGATTTTAAACTTAATTTTATTACTTAGATTTAAGAATAATAACATTGTAAATGGTAGTTAAAATCATAGAGACAGTATTGATTTTTCATATGTAGACTTTGAAATTTTTTGAATATTCTATTACAAACCACTAACAGTAGATAAGGAAATATCACATAGTTTTCTTTCACTAAATGTTTTAAGAGATTTCTTTCTTTTAATTTAAGTATCAGCTAAGGAGTTGGACAAAGAGCAGGTATTTCTTAGATCTCTGAACGAAACTTCAGTGTAGACCCTCTCATTTTCTTTTCATAATCTTCTTCAAATCTCTCATACTGGGCTACAGTAAATTTATTCTTCCAGTCTCCTGAAATACCTGAAAAGTAAAATATTAAATTTAAGACTACTGTAAAATTTCCTTCTAAGATTAGTTTTACTTTGAATTATCACACTTGTATTTTTAAGTCTTTAACTTTAGAATGTCATGTCTACTCCATAACTCTATTACCTACCCCCTAATACCACTCCCAGATTCCTAGTCATTCTTAGTTTTCCAAAAATTCCTATTCATTTTTTCATTATCTTATATACAAAAATAATGCTTTAAGTAGTTTCAAGAAATGTCACTAGGATAAAATCCAACGTCTAAAAATATTTACTCTTTGGCTTTAAAAACTTTGTTAACAAGAATACAGAAAATTTTTCAGCCCTTTTAAAACTATGTTTTCCAATACCAAATGAAAATTTATTTAAAATGTTCTATAATCAAGTAAGATTTGGAAATTACTGTGTTAAATGTAATTAAACATATGTCTTAATTATAGGATTGTTCAATCTTCAAAATACTAACCATATTTAAAACCTCAAAGGAAGGATACAGGACAGAGCATTTGCAATGAATATGCGATAAAAAATGTCATTTTCATAGAATATGTTACAAAGTAATTCAGAAGACACACCTAGAAGCCCAGTTTTAGAGAAAAAAAGGAATGAAAACATGCCAAAATAACTTTGTCAGTCTAGCCCAAGATTTCTCAACTTTGGCTTTTTATTTTATTTATATCTCCACTGTTGACACTTGAAGCCAGATGATTCTTTGCTGGGGGTGGGGGAGCAATGTGGGTTGCCCTGTGCATTGTAGGATGTTTATCAGCATCCGTGGCCTCTACATATTAGCTCTCAATAGCGTACCCCTATCAGGGTCATCAAAATTTCTCTGGATGTTGCCAAATGTCCCCTGGGAGGCAAAATCATAACTGGAAGGGATTTGGGTATTTCCAGAAAGCCTTATCAATGGCATACTTCCTAACTTTCTTTAAAAAAAATCTCTAGGGCTGGCAGAGTGGCGCATTGGTTAGGAGTTGGCTTGGGATGCTAGCTCTGAGCATCAGGGCCCTGGTTTGGATCTCACATCAGGGCCAGTGACGCTGTGCCCTCTACAGCTAAGATGGTGAACAACAGCTCAACCTGGAGCTGGGCTGCTGTGAGTCGCCGGCGATGGCAGTAAGCTGCAGTGGGGCTGGCCGGGACAGGCGTGAGCTTTTGCGAGCTGCTGTAAGCCACTGTGAGCGGCCGTCCAATGGCCGGCGAGCGACTGCCTCACCCGGGAAAAGTGCAATGATAATACCAACATGGGCCAGTGAAATGACATCCTCCACAACTAGACTAAAAAACAAAAGGACAGCAACTTGTGTGTTCCCCTTCCCTGATTCCCCATTGCTATTGCCCTCCTCCAATTCCCCAATAAAACCCTTAGGGGAAAAAAAAAAATCTCTGAAAGACACAAAAACACGTTATAATTTAAATTACCCTTAATAGCTCCTTTACAGGCTCTTACCAAAACACCTGTTTCTCCAAAACTGTCTCAGGTTGTATTATTCACTCTCTCCTTCACTGTAAAATGATTTTACATCTCTGCCAATTGGCATTTGTTGTATGTGATTCCTCCTTGCCTTATTATCTTTGGGCTTGGATTTTTGTTATTGGGCTTTTTTGATATTGGGCCAGTGGAATTTGAATATGTGAAATATATACCATATCTGAACAAAAACTTTAAAAGGCATTTCAAGATTCCACTCCCTCTCTTGCTTCCCCTCTATACCATGATGTTAGGCACATCCCACAAATGGACAGTTCTTTCAGCCCGAGTTTCAGAAAGAGAAGACAAGAGGTTGAGCCCATGAAAGCCAATCAAAACCGATCAGAATCAAAAAGAGTTGAGCAAAAATGCAGCTGAAACAGGTGACCAACATCCGTCAGCATTAAAAGAAAAGTAAATCTTGTGGTTTTAAGCCACTGAGATTCTTGAAGTTGTTTGTTTTATAGCAAAGATGACTAATACATATGCAACGAAAAAAACAACAGAATCAAGTTCTCTCTGTCTCTCTCCCTTTCTCTTATGTGTGCACATGCATGCACACACATGTAATTCACTTTTTTTATTACTTATTAAAGAATTATTTTGTGCACGATGCTAGTTATACATTGAGTTCCATGCTGAGGATGCAATGATTTACCATAATCATAGCAACAACCTCAAGGAGTTGTTAGTTTAGTATGTCTAACATCATGTAAGCTAGTTATCTACCACAGAAAAATTTCTAAGAAACATGAAGAATATGTAGATAAATCAGACAAATGAAGGGCATTTTTATGATATAGCAATGGGTGCCAAGACTCATGCTTATCGATGCGTAGATTCTTGAGTAAACACATCTCATTAGAAGACTTGTTTTACATGTTAGGCTTACAAAAATGATAGAGTTCCTTGCCACAAATTATTTCCTCTAGGGTTTTTTATTTTCCTAATTGTTTCTCTCCCAGCATGTTCAGTTTATTTCTATTTGCTATATTACTTTTATCAACCCATGTACACTCTCTATAATATGACTAACAAACTGTATACAGCCTAATATATGATGTTCTCACCTTTTCTCATGAAGGGAGACACAGAATGATCCATATCAAAATCTGGTACAGTAGTATAATTTGCACTAGGATTCTGCTTCATGACATCAAAAGAGCTATGATAGATGATCTTATTCACTGTTTCTTCTGGTAGGTCTTTTTCTAGAAATTTTAACAACTTCTGAATTTCGCGCTTTGGATCCTAAAGTAATTATAAAGAAAAGGAATTATTTTAGGTAGATTTGGTCATGCAGAAGGCAACACATTTAATAAAGTTCTACATATATCAATTTTGTGAAGGAAATTATTTTATATTTTTATGTCCACTTTTTGGTTTCATTTCCCATATCCTACTCTTGGTTATACCAGGTAACCATCTACTAGAAGGAAGATTAAAATTTGTTTCAAAAATTGCAAATAAAAAGATTTAGTTAATATTCAACCTTTCATATTCAAAAGTAGAATAACAGATGGTGATAAAGCAAGATACAATTATCATGAGGTATAATTTTCAAAATCCCTTGTATTGTTCTTTTTTTTCATAGCTAACATCAAGAATAGATTACCTATCAAGCATTTTAGAAAGAACTAATATAAATCCTTCTCAAACTATTCAAACAAAGTAGAAGAAGAGGGAATATTACTAAACTCATTTTTACAAAGCCAGCATTACCCTGATACCAAAGCCAGACAAGGACAGTACAAGAAAAGAAAATTACAGGCTAATATCTTTGATGAATATCAATGCAAAATACTAGCAAACAAAATTCAACAGCACTTTAAAAGGATCATACACCATGATCAAGTGGGATTTATTCCAGGGATGCAAGGATGGTTCAATATCTGTAACTCAAAATGATACACCACATTAACAAAATGAGGGACAAAAATCATATGATCAATTCAATAGATGCAGAAAACTAATGTGACAAAATTCAATGTTCATTTATGATAAAACCTCTCAACAAAATGGGTATACAGGGAACACACCTTAACACAATAAAGACCATTATAACATACTCAATGGTGAAAAGCTGAAAGTATTTTCTCTAAGATCAGGAACAATTGTTAACTATAGTTAATAATACTGTATTGGATATTTGAAAGTTGCTAAAAGAGTAGATCTTAAAAGTTGTCATCATAAGACAAATATTTTTAAATTATGTGTGATGCTAGAGATTAGCTAGACTTATTGTGATCATTTTACAATATACACATGTATGAAATCATTATATTGTATACCTAAAACTAATGTTATATGCCAATTATGTCTCAATAAAAAAAGAATAGATTACCTATCTCAGTTCTCTTACAGTGGAAAGAAGATATTGTTTCTACCTCTCACACCCACATAGATTTCCTGATAATATGAATATATGAGGAGGAAGTAAAATATAATCCTGTCCATTTTCCAGTCTAAGGAAAGGTGGGAAGGAGAAAGAGGTAGTAATAAAGAAGAGAAATCCACTAGATGTATTTATTATGATTTCCTTTTTCTGTGATTCTGACTGTACATAGGACAGCATGTTAGATAAGATGGAAGGATGGCACTCAAGCCAATGTTTGTGCCCTGCTACACATCAGAGAAGTGTTCTTGGTGATCTAAACCAAACTGAAGCAGAGAACCATAATCTTAGTGACTGGTGAGATCAGGCAGAAAGGCAATCTAAAGTTTAGCTTTCCTGAGCTACCCATCTCAATTAATGGAAACAGAACAGGAGAGTTTCTTTGGTGGCTCTATAAGAATCTACTTCTTGTAGCTACAGAGCTAAACTTACTGGAAATTAAACATATGGCTTAATTATTCAAGTGGGTAAATTAAAATGAAAGTTGAATTCCCAGTTGTGCCAAGTCCATTATGTGAAAGTTAAATGGAAGTGATGGGTAAAGAGTATACTGCTCAAACTTGTAACGGGAATATCTGGGGTGGATCTGACGACACAGAGACTCTGGAACTCTTGAATGATTTTGAGGCTTTCTGCCAGCAGATGGAAATTGCCCTCTCATATTTGAAGAAACTAAACTTCCTTTGCTGGAAGTTCCCATTCAAGACAATGTAATTTAGAATGACAGGTACAAAATGGCTTAAACAAGATACAGAAGAGACAGAAAATTTGACTAAGAAATTTGCCAAACGGGGTCACCTTAGCTGGGTAAGGTGGTTTACCTAGAGACTGTAGAGTAGATTTACCAAATAAGAGATTAATGGTAGTCATAGTCATCTAAAGGTAGTCATAGAGAAACTTACGGGACCAAGATAAGGCTGAGTCAAGTTACTGGATTCTGAGCAAATTGAGGCAGATAAACCAGAAACATTGTTGCGGGGGGGGAAGGGGAGAGGTCACGGGACATTGTTTCCAGGGATCCCAACTCATCCTCATTTTTATAGTGTCTTATATAATTTACCATTTATCCCACACACCTAGACATCATTTTAAAGAGAATAGAGGAGGTGTACACATGCTATCTGATATTCAATTTTTAAAATGTGGAACATTTCTTAAATGGACTATTTAAATCCGATTAGAATAATTTTTTGATCAGATGGAAGATCAGTAAATAAAAACTAGATGTTTTATAGATTAAATAAGTAAATTACATTGTTTCTCCACCATGCTTGCCACTTGGGGAAACAACCATGGACAAGATAATTTTAGTCTCTGCATTCAAGGAGATTACATTATTGTAGAGATCAAAAAAAGAAAAAATAAGTAAAGAAATACATACTTAAAATAGTGAGAAGTGGTGATACAAACTATAAAAAGAGCAATAGCAGAAAAAAAATTGTAATAAATAATACCATGGTAGATTATTTGACATTATGGACATGAAAGAACCCTTAACATTTAAGTAAAGATGAAAAGAGGTTAATCTGAAAATAGTGGGAAAAAAATTGTTTCTGGTAAGCTCACTTACAGAGAAGAGGAAAGATGGCACCAGAAGAGGTTGGAGAGATAGACAAGAACTAAATAATGCTGAACTTCATAAATTATCTTAATGATTTTGTATTTCACATAGGGACAGAAGTCATTGAGGGATTTGTAGAAGGAAGTGGATACATTCTGATATAGGTTTCAAGATCATTCTCTCTGAATGGATAATAGAAACAAAATGAGGTAATCCAAATAAGTCAAGATAGTTGCCTGAGCTAGAGTAGGAGGGTAGAAAGAAGTGGATTGAGTGAAAGATGAATTTTCAAGGCACAGTTAACAGGGTAGTAGATTAATCATATTTTTAAATCACGAGGAAAGAGAAGTATGATATGAAGAAGGTGAATCTTAGGTTTCCTTAAAAAATAAAGAAGAGGGCCGGCCGAGTGGCACGATAGTTAAGAGCCAGCTTGGGATGCCAGAGGACCCCGGTTCGGATCCCACATATGCGGGCCAGTGACACTGCCCTCCACAGCTAAGATGCTGAACAACAGCTCAACCTGGAGCTGGGCTGCCGTGAGTTGCTGGCAGCGGCGTAG